ATGATGTATTTATGATATATTTCTTTCTTTCTATAAATCCTGAAGAGAAAATGTGTGTGTGTGTGTGTGTGTGTGTGTGTGTACCATGCTCAGATGCCACGTTCATCAGCAGCTGGTGTTGCTGGTGTGTAGGCTTGCTGAGGTAGAGTACCCATGATCCCTCGGGGCTGTTCATTCTTCGAGCAAACACTCTCTCCATGATCCTCAACAACCGTACGCCCTGGTCTACACGAAACTCCTCCTGTCACACACACACACACACACACCCACATTTTTTTACAAGTTAATACTTGATTTCCCCGCAGACGTCAAAAAGTGTCTGATCTCTCTCTCTCTCTCTCTCTCTCTCTCAGTCAGACACAGCTGATGAAGCCAAAGCACTTTTTTTAACCACAAATGAGAAAATATGAATTCTCAGATACAAAGAGGTCACTGCGGTGGCGGTGAGGGTTTGTGCTGCTGCCATGGCGACAGGCGCCGTGGTGAAGGTCCCTCCTCCCTCACCGCCACACACACAAATGCAGATGGCCTCCAGCAGTTCGGTCTGTCTGTAAAACTCAGCTGAACTTTTTGTTGTGGCTCTGACGGCGCGGGAGAAGAGTCTGGCTGCTCCTGTACTCAAAGACCTTCACAGATTCTTCAAATGTGGCATAATGCTGCACACGTTATCTCCTCAGAGACATTAAGGATGATTGTTGTCAGGCTTCAGCTGGAATCTGATTTGTCCCCCAATCAGAAATGAGTATTTTCCACAGCCAGGCCATAAAATGAATTAATCATCAGCTCTAACAGTTGCTACAAGTTCTCATTTAATCACCTATAACATTTTGGCTCTGGCGCTATAAAAATTATCTTGTTCCACTAATTTCATTGATTCTTGAAGTGTGTTTACATCACAACTTTATGAACCACGAACAGGAAACATAAATCACATTAATATCACAAATTCATCTCGTAGGAACTCAGTCATGTTAAATGCTAAATGCAGCACTTTTAATTTGAATATTGCATCCTTGTACTCACGCAGTTCAAGTTTTGCGTCATGTTGAGGATGACGTAGCCTCGTCCAGCGAGCTCGCTCCAGTCCACACACACTACCTGAAAGAGTCAGCATTGATTCGGGTTAAAACAGTCAACACAGAAAGCCTTAGATTAAAGACCCCTCCTGTGTCTGTGCATATATGTGAGTGTGTAAATGTACCTGCTGCGCCTCCTCAATCTCATCGAAGTCACCATCCGGTAAGAAGACCTCAGTGACCCCACCTCCCCTGACCTCTGACGTCTGGGCCGACAGGGGTGTGGTCTTTTCCAGCCAATCCCAGGAGGGGTCGGTGAAGCTGACGGTGGTGGAGGGATCTGTGGTGAGCGGGATGATGTGTCTGTTTATTGTTTCCTCTTTCTCCACCGTTCCCCATTTGTCCTCCTCCTCCTCTTCACTTCTGCCGTTCAGTCCGACTCCTTTAGTGAAGACAAAAATAATCAGTTTATAATGCATTTATTTATCGTGATGAAATAATCACAGTATAATGTTTCTAATGTTAAAGAGCCTTCTCACCTCTTAACTCGTGTCCTCCCTGTTCCAGCTCCTCCTCTTCCTCCACGCTGGGCTGCAGGGGCTCTCTGCTGGGAACCATGCCAACCTCTGGTACAGTGGGATTCTGGGTAAATACACCTTTGTGTGCCAGACCCGTTTCCTCCTCTTCCTCCTCCCTCTCTGTCTCTTCATCCTCTATCTCATCTGCAGCGACAAACAAAGAGGTTAAACAAAAGCAGCACAGTTTGTTCCATTTTTTTACCTAATCTGAGTGTCCATCTGTAAGTGAAGGCATCACAGTTTAATTGTGCCTCAGTATGTACAACAAAAAGTCAACGCACCATTAATACGACAGAGGTTCATTAGTACGTTCATTGTGTTTGTCGTCCGAGCTGTTACATTCATTTCAATGAATTTCATGTACAAAACTAGCCTCTACAAGCAGTAGACATACTGTTAATATATCTTAATATCAGTTTATTATTTGCAACAGAATCATCAGATTATGATGATTTCTGTGCAATACTGTCAGACTTCCTATAGCAGCCCATTGACCTGCCCCCTGCTGGTCAAAGACAACTGTGTTTGCTTCACTTCACAGACCCAGAAGCTCTGTCCACTAACTATATACTGTCAGTGGGAGCCGACTGACACCACAGGTACACATTAAATGTACCTTTTGTATAACTTCCCAGCAGCCCAAAGTCTGTGCCTGTGTCAGTCTCAGGGGTGGCGGTTCCTACAGCGTCTCCACCTGCAGCTGTCGAGGTTGAAGCAGCAGCAGATGTAGTACTGGTTGTAGTGACTGAGGAGTGAAGGACTCCGTAGCCACTGGCATGACTATCTTCCTCCCCCTCTGCCTCCCACAGCTCTCTCTCCAGAGGACCCACCTGTATGATAGAGGAAGACATAAATCAGATGATTGCATCAGTTCTTTGTAGTCAGTTATCCCCATTTGGCCAATAGATATAGGCCAACGAGACACCACTAATCACATAAAGCATTTAAAGACTTATTAAACTGTTCAGCACAGGGTCAGTAGGTGAGCCCTGGATTACATCTGATTTACTGCGATCCAATTAAAGCCCAACCGCAGCTGCTGATTTCTTTTTTCTGATGCTGCACACAGCAGTGATCCACCTGTCAGAGGCACAAACTGGGGCTTTGTTAGGTGTCATTTCTGTGGTGACAGGTAACAGTGGATGTTTTTGGAGTACTTGTTTTGGAGTGGTTGTTTTTATTGTATAGACTGACATTTACAGGAATATATCAGCACCGAGGCGTCTTTAATCTGTCCTCACCTCCAGGACCGGTGATGCACGATGCTCCTGAAGCCCAGACTCGTGCACCTCGGCTGGGGAGGAGTTACTGGGCTGCTCTGAGCTGGAGGGGTGGAAAGATGGACTGTAGCCTGTGAGACACAAAGAGACATGTCAGAAACACATGTTTGTGTCTTTGTGTAAATAAATAAACCTCTTGGCAGCCATCCCTCTTTCTACGGCTGCCATGAGGTTTTGACAGTAAGCAATCAAAAACCGACACATGGTAGTCATTGAACATTAACAAAAGAATGAACGTATGTCTTTGTTGAAATGATTATATTTTATATTTAGCTTTGAATACTTGTGCAGCCAGAAAATCTGATGACTTTCTCACCTGTGTTTGATTTAATAACAAAATTAAAAATAAGTTGTAGCTTGATAAGAGAGCCTAGTTACTTGTTTTTTATTTGTATTACATTTTGTCCACACTGACCTTTACTGGATCTGGATCTGCAAACTAGCATTCACACTAAAACAGTGATGGTTGTGAGATGATATTATTATATTATTCAATAAGCAGAAAAACACATTGAATTCTACTGAATACCAGGTTGCATCTTGTCAAATGAAATGTAGACAACGTTTCAACCGCTGTTCACCTGTAATATAACTTAGATATAAACTTTTTGTTTTGTTCTGGGCAAACATGTTATCACTTCGGGCAGACGGCAGACATCTGATCTGAAAGATGTCTTCGAAGATGCAACCTGGAAAACAGCTTTTCCCCTGAAGTTTGCATAATGTGACCAAAAGCTGGAGTAGTGAGAGAGCTGAGGTTACAAATGGCTGCCTGTGGGTGTGTTGAGTGACGTCAACGGCTTTTATTGATTTGGTTCTGTAGGGAAAATAATTCCTGCTAACCAATCAGAGCGTCCAGATCTGGGGTTGTGTGGTTAGCCTCTAATGCATCCAGTACATGGACATCTTGATCGTCTATTCCTCCTCCTCCTCTCTCTTCCTCCTCTCCTCCGGCGTCTTCCCCTCTCCTCTCTCTGTCCTCCCCTGTGTCTCTCTCCCACTCGTCCTCTCCCCCTCTTCTCTCTCGGTCCTCTCCTCCCTCCTCTCCTCTCTCTCTGTCCTCCATGTCTGTTCCATAGAAGCCCGAGGCCTCCAGGGAGGCATCGCCAGCTCCTGGCCCACCGAGGAGCTCCTTCTCTGGGTCAGTAGAGTCTTGGTGTCCTCTGTAGCTTTCTGCATCCTGGGGAACCGCTAGATGAACCATACGCTGAAAGTTGAAAGATATTTGGTCAGATTGATAACCAGCAAATTACCATAAATAAATAATATTGTTATTACTGATTCAGAACTAAATATTTTACTCTCCTGCACTGCTCTAAAAATGCTCATAGCTCAAATGTGGAGTGTAAATAAAGCACCTACAAAGAACCTTCATTTGTATTGTATTGGTATTTTGTCGACCCCTGTGGACAAAAGTGGTGTTTCTGCTGCTTGTTTCATTGATTTCAAGGGGAATCTGTCCGAATCCGACATTAAGAGTAACTATATAGAAATATCCAATCTTCTCTCTGACAGTCTTGTTTGTTTATGTATAGGTCATATAGAGGCATCTGTATTAAACTGAGACTGTTACACAACCAGTTAAAAACTCCTTGCAGCATGTTTAATATTTACTGATTAATAGCTATAATTATTAATTATGACTAGTCTACAAAAAGAGCATAACTTTGTCCCGAGGTTGATTAAAAAAATGACACAGCAATATTTCATGTTGATGTTTTGTACGTGATCTCTGCTTTTGGTTTAAAGAGTGAATGTGACCGCAGTCCTTTCCTGCTCCAGTTAATGTTACATAAATTAATTGCAGAGAAGAAATTAAATGCTACTGAAATACAAATTGGCACCTTAACACACATAAAATATCTTTGGTTTTTACAAGACATGGAGACAGTAAATGTGTTGCATTGGTTTCCTAAACCACCTAAACTGGTCAACAGTGTCTCATCACTTTTGTCCTTCACATTCCTCATTCACCGACATGGTGACCGCACAAGCAAGAGTTATAGACGCAAATAACAGCCATAATAATCTTGTGAGAAACTACCTAATGCAAAGTTTAACCACTACTTCATCCTTAAAGGACCAGTGTGTAGGATTAAGTGGCAGCTAAGTTGCAGATTGCAACCGACTGAATACAAAGCGCAAAGGAGAAACTACGGTGGCTGCAAAACTTGTGATTAACGCAAAATATCCTATCGAGAGCCAGTGTTTGATTTGTCCCTTCTGGGCTACTGTAGAAACATGGTGGTTCAACATTGTGGACAGAGGGGAGGACCTGCTCTAAACGGTTAATTCTAAGGTAACAAACACACAACAATTCTTATTTTCAGCTGATTGAACACTAATAAAAACACACCTATGAATATTATATTTCTGCCAATAGATCCTGTTACTGTAACGTTACACACTGGACCTTTAAGTGGTTTTAATTTCCCTCTGCTTGGTCACATCTCTTAAGATTATTAATTATTAAAGCTCTCGCATAGACTCTTACAGATGCAGTCGTTTACCCACAGCGCCACCTTCAACTCATCCTCACCTCCATCTCGTCTTCCACATCTAGGTTTTCATCCACAGCAGCGCGGGGCCTGGCTATATCCTGGCTGACAGACGACGGTGGGTTTAACTGAGAGGAGTTGGCAGAGTCCATCTTGGCCTGGGAACGGGATGTTTCGTGTATCTCTGGCCAGCCCATGTCATGAACCAAATGAGGCTGGGCTCGCACTAACTCTTGGACTGAGTGGCGTTTGCTTCTGATTAATTCCTGGATGAAGTGTGGCTGCGCTGGGGCCTCACCCTGGAACAGACGGGCCACCGGAGACCCGAGGGGTATGACCCGCTGGGATGAACCCAGTCTGAAGGCATCACAACTGGCCAGAAGAGCTGCAGGAGAGAGAGAAGACTGAGGATCATGTTGCTGTATCGCACTGCACCTTATTACATTAAAAAAAAATGTGTTGTTCTGGTAGAAGCCTGAAATGAAATTTTATTGATCTGCTTGAGGAAATTAGATTGTCAGAAGAGTTTCATGGATTCATCAGGGTGAAGAAAATGAACACAAACAAATCAAAAACATCTACAACAGGAAATACATGGTGGGAATGAGAAGCAAAACAACTAAGATAAAATATATATTATTGTACGCTGCAAACGCTTGGGTAGCCTGGAGGATGGGAAATAAGGGAAAGACTACAGATTATTGATAATGTTCGATCTTATCAACCTTAAATTCTTCCCATAACATGAATTAATGATTAATAAATAGGAAAAAGCTGTAAATTTGAATATAAATAACATATTTAACTTTAATCTCATTCATTCCTTCAGTTGTTTGTTATTTAATTATTTTATTAAGTTGCTCTAACCTGAAACCCGATTCACTACGTATCTGAATCAAGTAAAATATGATCATTATAAGTAGTTTTAAATTTTAAAGATTAATGAAATAAAAAACATTATTGCAGTTTCTTTAGTTTCACTACTTTAAGCAGCAATATGAACACTGCTATCTATCAATTTCTCACTGTGTTAACACAGTCCTTCATTTAATCACTTGTAATAAAGGACAGCTCCTGTATCTGAGTTATTCTCCTGTTCTTACATTTAGATTTAGATTTCATTTTATATATGCACATTTATTTTATCCTTTACTTTTTATTTAAACAAATGATTTATTTTTTCTTCAGCGCTTGTGTTTGATACTTTTTCATTCTCAAATACAATCCTGAAGCTTTTATTTACTCTCTTATATCTAGGAATGTAAATGAACATATTTGTATAATTACTTTACATGGATGAACACTGATTATTGATATATACTGTATGTATAATTTTCTGTGGCATTATGTGTTAACTTGGGCTACTATTGATGTAGGATCTGTGCATGAAGGTGATTTATCACTAATTCACTTTAATAAATATATATATATATATACCCTAACACTATTCTTGCCATCACCACTGAAGCGTGGCTGCACAATATCATTAACTTCAGATCAGAAAATATACATAAAATAAACTTCCCTGGTGCCAGTCAGTCTGCATTATTAATTTATTTCTCTCTTTTATAGTCAGCATACAGTGCGTCACGGTCAGTCCACCCCCCCTCCCAAACTGAAACAGTAGAAAAAGTGAGCTCCCCTGAAAGCCATGGTATAGTTTACTGCGTCGGTGTATAATGAGACATTATTAACAGAGTTTCTCATAAAGACAAACAGTTAGAGCTCAAGTAGACCTGAGTGGATTGACAGATAATAGATAACAACCCGACACAGGCAGACCTGAGAAAGAATAGAGATGAGAACACTCTGTTCCTGCATTATACATTTAGTGCTTTTATTTTCTCAAAAAGTCACTGCATGGAGGTAAAGCACTTTTATTTTGTCTTTAAATGTATGTCTTCACTTTATATCTACTTTAATTCAGACTTCTTCATTCCTTCATTTGCTCATCAGTTCATTAACAGTTCATTGATTCATCCGTGGTTACGTCTGTCTTTCATTCATTAGTTCATCCAACCACCCATTCATGTGATTTCTACACACTTTTGTATCGCAGTCATCGTTCATTCACTCACTCTCTTCCTTCTATGTGTCCATCCATCCATCACTAATCTCCATCACTTGGCATAGAGGCTGAGTCCTCACCAGTCTCGCTCATGTGTCCCCACAGCGCTCTCTGTCTGGGACCACAGATGGCCGTCTGACCTCAGGGGCCGACTGAGCAGATTATGATAACATGCCAACATGTCTCAAACACGTCTGCAGCATGTTAAGCTCACCGTCACCACAAAGCCCCACAGTCTTAGATGACACAGATTCCTTCCTGCTGACTGAAGCATTTCCAAAAAGAAGGAACTTGTGTGTTCAGTAGCTGAGCTGACTGCCGCTTGATGAGCTTTTTTTGTTCAGTCAAGAACCCACAAAAAGTTTCTCGAGGAATAATTAATGAGCAAGATGCAGGGAACAGAGTACATTATATCCGTCCAATTATAGCCTCATCTGGCAGACGTAGGGCACCAGGAGCGACAATGGATTGTTTTAGCCCGTTTAATGCGTCATAGTGGAACATAACTGATGCCACATGGGACGCCTCATGACAACCTGACAACATATTAGAGTTTTTTTGCTTTCCACAACAAATTCCAAGACATGTTGTCAAGTGGTAACACAGAAAGCTCTGCACACAACTGTAAACAAGGCGAAACAAAAGAGGAATGGCGCCCTCTAAGAGCTGCTGCTACTGGGTTTATTGTAGAGCGCAGATCAGTCATGAAGATGTTCTTTCGTGCCCTTGTGCCCACTTGTGGTATATAATCTTGTAATATAATAATACATACTATAATCTTGTTCTTCACGATGTGATTCAGTCAACTCTAGAGAAAGAAGACATGAATTTCTACGGCCACGTGCCCTTACTGTGCACGCCTGCCAGTGACACCAGCGGTGATTGGACGGCCTTTCTGCGCTCTAGGAGGATAATGATAATCACTGTTGAAAAACTTCTTGACAACTTGGACTCTTGGACGAGGGGTTGCAATGCAGGGCAAGAGTCCTCTGACTTTGCTCCCACCATCTCCAGCTCCCCTCCTGGTTCTTGCCTCTTCCCAGTGGAACATCTGATGGCGGGGAGGAGGTGAAGTGCAGCAAAGTCTGCTTTCCATGAATGAATGGATGGCAAAGTTAATAAAAAAGGAATACACGATCCAGTTCACCAGCGTTTCCCCACCTTTCCAGACTGGAGACTGTCATCGCATCACAGACCGACGCAGCTGCCCTGATGACAGAGCTGTTTCCTCCTGGAAAAAGGAGCTATTTCCAGAGTCCCATAAGGAGAGGAGCACTAAGGTTATCACTCCTGTTACATCCTAGTGCCAAAGAAAACAGGTGTGATGAGACCAAATCTCAACCAGTCCCTCTTCAGCAGAGACCATTTCACATGCTCTTAAAACGTGTGCTGGACTGTGTGCATCTCAGCGTTACCAGTATCATCCAGCATGGCGGTCCCTAGCACCTCCGTCCCGTTGTGAAAGATGGCGAGGGATGTTTGATTATGAGCAACACAAAGTCTGTCATGTTTCTCGGCGAAAGCAAATATTAATTACTCTTTAATCGCTGTAATGGACAGAAATATTGTCTAGATACTGTCTATATAGTCTGAACTCGGAGTCTAACAGGACTGCTAACAGGTTGGTGTTTAGCAGGTAGAATGTTAATGTTCATCATCTTAGTCTACTGCGCTTACATGCTTCTTACAAATAACAGAAACACCCGAGAATACATTAGTGAAACACTTCACATACAGAACACACTGAGATTTAAAAGCTTCCCCAAAGGAACCATTTGGTGCAGGATTAGGTTATTTCAGTTCATCCTGAGGGTGTAACCAAGTTTCATAAGAATCCATTGATTGATTCTGGCCTCTGCAATGAGTGACACAGCAATATTGGATATTCTCATTTTAGGCAACTGGGTTTTCCATTTGGAGAGCAAGCAGTGGAAATAAAGAATTCAGAGCAAATTCACAGTTAATTAGGCAAAACTCTCAGTAAAGGGACAAATAAACTGCATTGTGAGCACTGTATTTCTAGTAGCTCAGCACGTACAATATATATGTGTGTATATGTATATATACATAAACGTCATGTTTGTAGCTAACACTTAGGTCAGAAACATATGTTAGTGCATGGTTTATCTGTAATATCAGAACGTGTGTGACCAGGCGACTCGTCGGTGCTACGTCACCACTTAAAACAAGTGGGCGACAGCCTGAATGACAAATAACCAATAGGCGACGTCACGGTGGGTTTATACTTGATTCTAACATAGCATTTGTTAATGTTTAGCCTGTTAGCATTTGTATTAGTTGTCTCCATTTCTCATCTGTCCAATAATTTATTTTCTGTTGTGTGATGAACTTTGCAGCGTCGGGGGGGTTCTGGACTCATAATACACTTTTATTCTGGTAATTACTTTGTGCCTGAGACACTGCAGGGGAGGACGTACTGGAACTTTCTAAAACTGCAATTATAGAACGGATGGAAAGCATGTTCAGGTCAAAGCAGTGGCGATTACTTTGTGTACAAGAGCACTCAAGAGAAATATGAAGTTCCAGTTCTTATGGCCCTTTCATTAAAGGTGCAGCTATAGTTATGTGTAAGCTGTGTGGTAGTGGCGGTCGGCCTCGAGACTATTTATTCCTTCTGAAGACGTAAATGGGTCACAAATATATGGTTGCATTTTTTAAACTGGCTCAGGAATTTCCTTAAACAGCTGGGAACTCGTCGTTTTTAGTGTAGTAAAGTGTGTGGATGAGGACCATTGATGACACTTTAATGGTCCAGACTGAAATATCTCAGCAACTATTTGATGGATTGATGTGATATTTTGTGCAGACATTTATAAGACTTTGATGATTTCAATGTGTCTTATATTTTGATTTATGATCAAATACCTGCAGAACTAATGACATTCCCATCAGCCTCACGAAACCAACGTGGTGAACGTGGTGAACTTTATCCGTGCCAAGCTTAGTCATTGTGTTAGCACGCTGATATTAGCATGTAGCTCAAAGCACCACTGTGCCTTGCAGAGCTTCTCGTAGCTAAGCCTGATTTATACTCTATGTGGAGCCTTCACCGCAGCCTCATTCCTATGAGAGCATTTGTACTTTTGCACTGATGTGTCTGTGTTGCTCTGCAATAACGCCAAAATGCTATTTGGCATTGGGGTTTCTCGTCTCTCACTTCAATCTGTCTTTTTATTCTGTGTTTTCCTCGTTTCCTTTCTCTTACCCTCGCCGCCTGTGAAGCGAAAGGACGAGGGAATACGAGGGGGCAAACAAGAGCGTGTCATGCAGCGAGGCAGCGTCCTACGTGTCTGTTT